AGCACAAATACCAGAGATCATATAATTTCTTAGTGACCAAGTCCTAACGTTGTATGTTCAGTATACCAGGGGATTAAAAAAAAAAAACCTGAATTTTTTTTCAAAGCTGTGTATTTACATTTTTTTCCCAAAACAAACTTTTCACCTTCAAAGTACTCTCCCTTATATTAATACATTTGTCAAATCTGCAATTCCATTCTTGGAAACATTTTTCAAATGCATCTGTTTGGATAGCTGACAGCACCTCCCTCATTTTTTCTTCACTTCTTCTATGTTGCCAAATCGTTGTCCTTTCATTTTCCTCTTCATTCTTGGAAACAAAAAGAAGTTGCAAGGAAAGGTCAGGTGAGTTAGGTGCGTGGGGCAAGAGAGGCATGCTGTTTTTGCCAAAAACTGGCATACTGAGATGGCTGCATGAGCAGGTGCATTGTCATGGTGGCAAAACCAGTCCCCTGACAAATCAGGGATTTTAGTCACACACTCTTGGGCAATCTTTTCAGAACCTCTAAATAGAAAGCTTGATTAACGATCAGACCTGGTGAAACAAACTCCAAATGCACTGTGAGTCTACATTTTCTTCCATTCAGGAAGTTGATGGACATCTGCAACTAGGTTTGTTGTCAATCTACATTTCACCTTTCAGGGAATGAGAAAACCACTCATACACTTGAGTTTTTCCCATAGCTCTGTCCTTGTAAGCTGTGTCCAACATCATTACAGTTTCTGGGGCATTTTTCACGAGCAGGAAACAAAATTTCACAGCTGCATACTGTACTCTGAAATTGGAAATCACACAAAGCGAGGTTTGAGTGAAACTGTTTTTGTGAAAAAAATCACTATGACCAGAGAGAATCTTCCCAGGCAGTGCCTCAGGGTGCCCTAACTCAGAATGAGTTACTTGATGCTTGCCTTGCCAGGAGAGCTCCACCCTGAGGAGCTTTTCCTGTTTTTCGTTTTGTTTGTTTTTGTGGGGGGTGTGGGTTACCCCCACATATGAGGGTAAGTAAAAAAGTTTTGATACAAAATAATAGAAAAATTTATTACACAAAAATATAAAAATGTGAAGCTGTTGTCTTTTGGCATATCCTCCATAGAGGTCTATACACTATTGAAGGTGGTGTCACATTCTCTCTCACCCTCGTTTGGGAAGAATTCTCCACTCTAAAAGCCACATCTAAAAGGTAGTTTTGGTTTTTGGAGGGATTCAAACATTGTTCATTTTCAGTGCTCTTTAAGTGTTGGGGGGAAAAGTCTGATGGGACAAGATCCAGGCTGTAAGGTGGATGGCGTAAGGTTTCTCAATGAAATTCCAATGAGAAAACTCTTGCTACCCTTGAAGAAGGAGCAGATGCCTTGCTATTAAGGGTGCAAAAATCTTCAGTACAACTTTCTTGATCTTTTTCTACCAAATGCTACTATCATTTTGTCTTCAGACGTCTTTGTAATAATAAGTCCCTGTGTCCTTGGAGAAAATCTATAAGGATTACCCCCTATGAAGCCTCAAAATATGGTTTGAATAGCCTTCTGAGTTGACCTCTCTTGCCTTGAATTCATTGCTGAGGTTTTCCCTGTGGTTGTTATTGGCTGTCGAGTCTGTGCTGACTCGTCGTGGCCCTGTGCACAACACAGGGAGACCCTGGCTGGTTGTGTGCTGTCCTGGTAATTGTTGCTATGTCTGAGCCTTTGTAACAGCCATTGTGCCGATCCTTCTTGCCAAGAGTCTTCTTCTCTTTCGCTGCCCCTCTACCACACATGATGCCTTTACTGGTCTCCTGATAACCTGCCCAAAGTCTTTTCATCCTTGCCTCTAAGGAGCATTCTGGCTGTATTTCTTCCAAGAAAGAGTTTTTGGTTCTTTTGATGGTCCATGGTCATTTCAGTATTCTTCATCATCACCATAATTCAAATGTTTGAATTTAGGAAGGTAGGTTTTTTATTCCTAAAAGTGATTGATGTATATAAAAATTGTTGTTTAATGTGGAAGCAACATTCCCATAAGCTTATTTTGAAGCTTCAATGTTTTGGGAAGATGTCCACTTGAGTTTTATTAAAATTTTCATATTATTCCAGACCTCAAAATATTTTCCTTGATGACACTGAAAGTATTATTCTTGTGTGTGTGTATGTGTGTGGGTGTGTGTGTCTTTAAAGACACATGAGATTAAGTAAGGCAAATGTATTACTGAGAGAAATAGTCACAAGTATCCAGTGATCACAAATACATGTTTAAGTACCTTTTGTTATCAATAAACATGTGCATATATTAACTAAAACCCCCTAGTAGCATGTGTTTGGCATAATCTCTTACTTTTTTATTGTTATTTTAGAAAATGTATTGGTAAATATATATGATTTCCAAATAATTTCATTTTTTCCTCAATTGTATTTTTCTTTAATTACAACTTTACTTTCTCACTTTGAAAGAATGTCTATATATTAGTATTTTACCTATTTGATGTTAATTAGTATTTTACCTATTTGATGTTACATATTTATTGCATGCTGCTGGTGGATGAAAGGGTTTTCTGTGATGTGTTTCTGCCCCTTTTGGAAATCTCCACTTGCATGTGGGGTAGCCATAGAATCAATATTTGCAGAAACATACTGCTCATAGTAGTTTCCCCAAAATTTGCTACTCCTATTATGTTACATTTAGTAATTCTAGTTGCTTAGACCAGCAACCGGATTTCCGTATAGATCTTAGTGTGATGTTTACCTTTCCCTGTTAACCAACTCCAAGAAGTTGCCATGTCCTATGTAACTTTCTTTTCTCCCATTAGATTCTGAATAAGTCTACTAAGTGGTGACCTAGCAATGCCAAAAGGTGGCCATTACAGGATGTTTTTAAACTCTTTGTGTTCCTAGAAATTATCCTGTAAGAAAACACTTAAATTCACTAGATAACATTGTGATTTACTAACAGATAATCCATAACTTCAGATAAGGCTGACCACAGGGAGGGGTAGAGAATCTATATAAATAGCACTTACTAGAGGACCTTGGATACATGTGCCCAGTAAAATAAGTTACTCCTCGCTTTTAGAATGCTTTGTATTTTAGAAATCATCTTTAGGATGAATTCATTTATTATTATAATTTTCTTAACAGTAAAAAGGGAATACTTTCCTTAAAAAATATTTAGCTGTTTTGAAACTCATCTGTGTACAGCATCTTACTTATTTTGGAAATTTGGGTCAATTTGCAATGTTTCAAAGCTATAAAATGTCTTTTAGCCCACTAGGTACATATAATATAGTAAAGGAATATAGATTTGATGCCTTTTGAAGATGCCTAATTTGTGACTTGGGCTGTAGGATGTATGTGGAAGGAATCTTTACAGAATACCTATAGTTCTTCCAGATTTTGAAACAATGAATTAGATTAAACTTATTTTCATTTTCCTCAAGTATAAAACATAAATTCATTATCTATAATTGTTAAATGGAAACATTTGAATGCCTCCTAGTGGTATGCTATAAGCTCTCATTAAAGAATTAAAAAAATAACAAACTCACTGAATCGTACATATAACATATGTTGAAATATCTTTTTACACAAATAACTCATTATTTTTATTGAAAGGATACTGTAGGTATTATAAAAGCTCCTCAGTGCAAAGTGTCAATGCTCTTTAAGGATAGAATCTTAAATGGAATAAAAATACTTTATTTGCCATTCAATCTGATTAAAAATTGAACTTGAAATATATGGACACACACATACCCAGGTACACCTGACACACACATAACAGACAAAGGTGATTATATTTTAATGGTACATCTTATGCTTTTGGTTCAGGTCATATTGTTTTTTAATTTAAGGGAGGTATTATGCTTTTGGATAAATATTGCTATTAATAAAATTTAGATTGTTTGGTATGCACTTGTTATTTATACTCTGTAAAATTACCATGTATATTTAAAAATATTTTTATATAATAATGAAATAGATATAATGGTTTGTAGAAAACTTGCAACTCATTTTTCTGATAGATTAATAAATCTTTGAATCTAAATTCAAATAAAATTATTTAATTAGTAACTTTGAAATTCAGATTATATGCAAAGCAATAAAATGAACAAAAACGATGATCTAATTACTTTAATCATAAAATTATAAATATGATTTAAAATGAAAAAGAAGGCACATGGAACATATTCTGATGAAGGTCAATTGGAAAGAGATAAAAAGAGATATCCTTTTGTTAAGTGTTCAGAAATGTGTAATTAACTGCTTGCCACAATAAAACAACTAAAATGGCAATTACCTTTAAAATAGCAACAATGTAATCGCAGCTGCTGTGATATTAAGCTAGGAAACAAAATGCTAATCTGGAATGAAGAGTTTAAGTATGAAATTATGATATACTTGGCTTCCTGTAGTACAGTTGTCAAGCTTGGGCAGTTCGCTGGTCAATGGTGACATTCTATGTGTCGGTGAACAGAGTCTCTTGATACCATAACCCGCAGTTCACACATTACTGAAGCTCCAACTGTCGAACATTCAAGTCCCCTGGTAGTATGGCAGCTTCCAGACTCTCCTGACTGGCTCATGTTTCATTCTTTGGCAATTTGCCCTAATGATATCCCTCAGGAGCTTTCACCCTCTCTTCCTTTCCATATTTAATCATGGTATATTAATCTGAGTGATGCGCAAACTGTGCTCCACAAATTGTAATTTCCTGCAATTCCTTCTAAGATGCTCAGCTGATTCTTTTTTCATTTTCACTTGTATTTATGTGTGCAGCTTTGACGCCAAACTCTGGATTTTCAGAGAGTTATAATTGTATAAGCAGCTGCTTTTGCTCTCTGTGTATTTTGCACAGAGACCTTGAAGCATAAGACTTTCACATGCAGAATTGGTAGAGATAATGTGATGATTTGTGTCATTGAGTAAATTGTTTTACAGTGATCATTAATCTTTGATGTTTTGTGCATGCCTTTTTGTTTGGGGTGGGGTCAGTAGCTACTTAATTGTTGTTCTCCTTCTACAAATTTTAGTTAACTGCCTGTCTCCATGGATCAGCTGCTCTGCTTTATCCAATGTACTGGCAACATATATACATCCCCGTGCTGCCTCCACGTCTGCTGGACTATTGCTGGTAAGCTGGCTTTTGCCAGACTGCTTTCCATTGGGGTTCATGATGAGGAGGAAAATAAAACAGCTACTTATAGATCAGGCACTGGGATATTGGAAAGAGATCACAGAAACTTAACTTGGATAGTAGTCATAACAATTAAGAGGTGTCCCTATGAAGACAGAGCAATTCTTTTCAAAGGTAGCAAAACTATAAACTTGACACATTGAGAGTGGTTTAGGGTTGTGAGGTTTTTGTTTCTTTTATTAAAATCTTTTTACTGCAATTGTTGAGATAATGAAAGGTGTAAATGAAAGAAAATGCAATATTTAGTTTGTGGTTAAGGAAATGGTTAGAAAATGGTATCATTTAGATATCCCAGCTGTCAGAGGTTGTCTGGAGGGTCTGCCAAATATCAAATGGTCATTGTCAGGGCACCCTTTGCTTTGCCTATCCCGCAGGCACATTTCCCTAGACCTCTTCCCTCACATCCTGGAGAGCCACAGGCCTCGACTTGCCTGGGATGCAGAGAGACCTTGAGCTTCTGCTTTAAGTCAGAATCTCAGCTTTAAGCCACTTTGAAAAGCAATGCTGCAAAGATTTGGAGGGAATTCCGAAAAACTCCCTGGTTTTATAAACAGTGATCTCACCCAATCTGAATTCCACCAAGCCTCCAGGACTTCCCTCTTCTCTTGCCCTGGAAGAGTGTGGCTTAGATCATGTTGACGCTCCGAAACAGCAGCCCATGGGACCTTCCTCTGTTCTGTGAAGCAGAATGTTAATACATAGCCATCTTCTGTAGGCATAGCTAATCCTAAAGAAGTCGGATGCACACAACTCATGTATGTGTACACACAACACACACACACACACACACACACACACACACAAAGGAATATTTTTGCCCTTACTGTTTTTGTTTATATGGCAGCTAATTTTATTAAAAGCAAACCAAAAGTATTTGTGAATTAAGTTATTTATTTAACATGTTTCATGAAAATCCTATCAGTTAAAACATTTGAAGACTGAACTGATTTAAGTTCACACATAGTTTCAAGGTATTTAGGAATAGTCCTTTTCAAACTGAGTGATTGTATGGACAACACCTGTTTTGGTTACCTACTGATCATATCAATATATTGTGTGTTCAATGGCAGAGCCCTGATGATGCTGTGGGGTAGATGCTTAGTGGCCTTCTACAGCTGCTCTGCCTTTGGAGTAGGTGAAGGAGAACCAGTTTGGTAGGAGACTCTAGGAATGCAGTCTGTATCATCAAGGATCAGAAATACACAAGTCTAAGAGTGGAACTAGATCTATCAGTAGGCTCTTTTGGTATTCATGTTCAAGGTTTTCTTTGACCAACATGCCTAGATTATAGAGGACATTTGAAGGCAGGGATTGCAACTTATTCATGGTGATCTATGCCTTATGTATTTGTATATAATGCTCAATGAATTGATAAAAGGTTTTTATATAAGAATTTTAAAATACATGATTTCAGAAGGGGAGGTAGTAGTTCAAGAGCTAACAGTTCTAATTATGAGGCTTAGATTAATCTTTTATTATATATAATATTAGTATAGTGTTAGTGGTTTTCTATGAAAATGTTTTGACCGCTTAAGAAGTAGCACTTCTTTACACTATGCAGTTTTCTTTAAGGACACATTTAACACATTTTAATAATACTGTTATTTAGAAGCAATACAAGTAGTTGTTAGGTCTTCTGATAATTTTGATCCCTGCCACAGTTTTTTTTCTATATTTCCCACTAATGGAAAAAGCTTGCTCTATGTTTTAGTCTCTGGTATTTTCTCACTTGCTTCTGTGATTTTAAATAGGACATGCCCATGTCTATCACCTCCCTGGGCCAGACACTGGAGCACTGATACGAAACAAGAGTTATCTGAGATTTCCCAAATTTTGGCCACAGTGATAGGCTCAGCTTCTACCAGGGACATAGGAAATTGTTATAAAATTGCCTTTGAGAAAGAGCCCCGAAAGACTCCAGCTTATAGAAAAATTTTTGAGCTATACTGTTTCCAAAGGAATATAGTTAATCTTCTCTGCCTCTTTGAAATAGAATTATAATAATCTATGTGCAAGAAAGAGAAACATATGACAGATCATTCCTTTATTCTCGTGGTTTTTGAATAAAGAACTTTTTTATAATACACTCTAAAAATGTCATCAGAAACATTTGGTACAGGAGATGAACAGTCTTTACTAAGTGTTCAAGATTGAGACTTTCCAAAGCTTGAGTTAGTCTCCAGGTCCTGGAAATATTTTTGCTTTTGCATTCGTTATCTCTGGCGTGTTGGAGATTGCAGAGAGCCATAATGCCATCTTGTGACCATGAATGGATATCACATCTTTATCTATGAATAAAGAGTTGTTCTTTTATTGGCTCATTCAGTCATTCATTCAGCCATTCATTCATTCTTCTGTCAAACACTTAATGAACACATTATTTGCCAGAAAATTAGTATAGAATGAATGAGACTGTGTTCCTGCCCTTGAGGAGCTTACATTCATAGATAGGAAGGCACACACACACAGAAGGAGAAAAAAATATTATACGTTCTATAATAGGGGTATTCCAAATAACCAGGTCTGGGAGAACAGAGGAAGAAGTGACCTATGCTGCCTGGTTGGTGCAGGAAGGTTGTAAGAAAGAAATGACACCATTTGCTTTATTCCCTTAATGGACTAGTATAAGGGTACTTTAATTTGGAAAATCCATGATGTTGCCAGATACTCTTAACCGATCTGAGTCCATAAACCGGAGGCAATGTGGCTCTAACATCAGTAAACTTATCATTGTTCATTATTTGCCAGGGAATGGCTGAAGAATTCTTTTGACTTAAACCTTTTATCTGGCTCTTCTTCCTATGAAAGGAGTAGAATTAACTTCTAAAAGAATAGTTTTAAAAATAGAAAATTATGTCCTCTAGTTATTAACAACCCTAAGTTAATAGACTGCTGTTATAGTCAACCCCATGGGTGGTCTCTTTCTAAGAAAACCAAAAAAGAAAATAGAGACTATCATGCAGTAATTATTTTTGAGTGAAGATAAATTGCTACCAAAAAATAGAATCAGTCATAAGAGAGCCTGTTGTATCCCAACTCTGCAGAATCACTTCATTGACAGAAAGATCTGGGACACTTTTGCACATGGACGATAGCACATCTGTGTTGCCAAGGATCTCTTCCTGACTTATTAATGCAGTAATTTAATTAGGAAATTTCAGCTTGGGTTGCAAAATTACTTTCATGAGATTTGGCTGATTTCATATTAGGATGCACACAATCCAATTTTTGCGAACTATTCTGCAAAGCATCATAATTATTTTAGGAAATGATGCTCTAGATTAATAATGTGCACAGTCCTAGTGTGCTTATGTTTTGCCTCTTTTTAGGCATTTGTGAGGAAAAGAAAACAGAGTTAGCCAGTTATCCTGTAATAAAAAGTTTCAGATGCTTTACTATTAAGATATGCATCGGAACCCTTTATTGATAGTTTTCTAGTTAAACAATTAATATAAGTCAAAGATAAATAGCTCTCATAAATTAAAAAAATTGTATTAGGTCTATTTCCTAGGACCTCAACAGGTTCTTTACTACTTTGACTGTGGAGTTTGGAAGCTTTGACTTAACTGATAGACTGTAAGGTGGGCATCATGTTTTCCTTTTAGAAGGCTTTTAAATATTCTGATGAACACATTTTACTAAAATGTTCTTTGGGATATAAGATGCTATAGATTCTCTGCATTATAAATCTTGTGAGTAAAGCAACCTACCCTAGGGTGAATTAGCAGTCAGCATAGTGGCTTTAATAAATGTACATTATTTTGAATGTGAGGAAGGTTTGACATATTTAAGTTATTGGGAGTTGCTTATTTTGTGACAGTTGCCTGAATCCAGTCATGGGAGATTAGAATAGAAAACATGTGTCTAATACTCTTCAATAGAGTGCCCTAAGGAGGGGCCTGTGGGGATCGTGGTTACATAATGTGCTACTAACCTCATGGCCAGCAGTTCAAAACTGCCAGCCACCAAAAGATGAGGCTTTCTATTTCCAAACAGAGTGACGGTTTCGAAAACCCACAGAAGTAGTCCTACCCTGTTCTTTAGTGAGGGTCCTTAGGAGTTGGAAGGGACTGACTCAATGTCAGGTTTATAGTGTAAAAAAAAAACCCCAGGGCTGAGAACTCGAGCCCACTACCAGCCTTCTTTTATTTAGGTAAAAGTGGAACAGTTTATACTTGTTCCTCCTATTTCCTTTTGAAGGCAGAGACATCTTTTTGGTCTTAATAATATCAGGGCCTACATAAGTAGTTCTTAATTTTCAGTCAAATACCAGACCAATTCCTGATAGTCTGTTGTACTAAGCAACTACCAAAAAGGAAAGAAAGAAGGTACAAAACCACAAAAGATAGGACAGCTGGGAATTAGAACACGAAAAATCTAGAAAGTACAGGTGAAAAAGAACTCAAAAAAGGACTCTTCAGCAGTTCTTTATTACTACTTCCTTTCACATAGGTTAGTGTTTTCCAAACCAAACCAAACCTGCTGCTATGGAGCCCATCCCGATGGCCCCGAGGGCCCCCAGGCTGTGACTCGGGCTGACTGCCCCATCCTGCTATCACAGAGTGTCTGGTGGGTTGGCACAGTGGGCCTTTCGATTAGCAGCTGATCACTTAGTCACTGTTCCACCAGTGTCCCTAAAGCAAAGGTTTATCCATCTTTAAAGAAGTATGGAACAATTTGAGGTTATTTTGAAAACTTTGAAGTCTGTTGAGATCCACTACAGAAGCAAATTAGATATAGAAGTATGGACTGGTGTAGTCTGATGATGACAGTGATGTTTGGAAAATTATTCAGATCTTTCGAGAAAAATAGGTATATTTCTGTTGACAAGAGATTTATGTTCAGTTTAGCACAAACGCTTCTATAAAAGATTTATGTTCTCTTTTCAAACAGGCATGTATAGACATACATTTCCTGCACAGACATCTGTTGACTTCTAGTTAACTATCATTTTGATGTTGAAAAATCAAAAGTTGAATAATTTCCCCTTTATATTTCATGAGAAATGTTTCCCCAAATATGGTAACTCTGATTTCATGTGCTACAAGCACGGTTTACTGTTTATATTCTCTGATAGAGTAGAAGTTCCATAAGGGCAAGTTGTACTCAATTCCTTTAAATTAAGTAAGAAAAATACACCCCAAAAAGGATATATTTACCATGAGGTATATGGAAAAGATTCAACTCAGATTATTATGGCCTAGACCTGATAGTTAAATAAAAAACTCTTTTAAGCATTACAACTGTTGATTTAAAAGATGATCTAAATTTTTTGTGTGTAACCCAATCATAATTTAAATATATCAAAATCCCTTAAAATTAATATATGTTGAATAATTTTAACGATCTATAATGCATTATGCTAGAACTATGCATTTAACTTATAAGCATTCTGAAATACTTAAGTTGATGTTTAAGTTTCAATGAATTACATGAATATATACATATATATTTTTAATTTAGTGCCCCAATGCCATACCTGATTGGAATACACTCCAGCCTCATAGAGGTGAGTATCTTTAACATGAGTGAGAAAGAAATTAACTCATAACAAAGATAGTTAGTTTTTTATTTGGAAGGAAAGCACATGGAAATAGTATGAAGTAGTAACTAGTTTCATTTATAGTATACTTACATGGTTATTTTCAAAAATGTAATATTGAAATAATTTCATTTAAAGAAGAACTAAATGATAGTCTTTAATAATTTGAGGTCCATGACAATCGGTAGTATTTGGTATCTGGTAAGTATTTAAACACTAATAGATAAGTCTGTGATGAACTTCTTTATTTTTGGTAACCTAGGATCATTTACATTTCTTTTTCATACCTGTGCTTTGAAAATCAAAATTCAGATGATTAAGAATCACAATGGGAAATAGTTTTATTTTGCAAGCTTCCTTGTGATCAGCTTGCTTTTTTAAGACCTGGTTTTAATATACTAATCATGAACTGCTTAATTAGAATATAGCTTTTTAAAATTGAGGTTTTAACTCTTAATCCTTTTAAAGGATTACTGGTATTGTCACCATCTCATTCAAAATTATTTTTGTCACATGAGTCATCATTATAGTGAAACACCCTGACCATTTATTATTAGTTAGACTTCTAAGATCTGAATCTTAACGCAAGCAACAAAAGGCTTGGATCAAAATATAACACTTTGGTCAATTGTGTGTCATTCTGCTAGTGGATTCCAGTTTCATTGGGATTAATTTGTTCCTGAGTTGGTCATGCATATTATCATTAACTCAATTTTTGAGCAACAATTTTACATTAATAGCTAATTTTCACTTAGATAAACATGTTTATATTTTAAAATTATTAACAATAAGAAAATAGTTTCCTATATTGCTTATCTTTGTCACTATTTATGACATAAGTCCTCATTTTAAATAATTAAGAAAATCCCGAGGACCATGTGGAGCTGGCCATCTTCCCATTTGCTTATGCAAGGCCTGCTCTGTGGAATTCTACATGCCCTCTAGCCAGCTTCAGCCTCTCTTGTTTTATTTTTTTTTTAGCTTTGGAGCATTTTTCAGTTTTGCAGAATATTTGGGCAGAATTTTTTGTTTGTTTTGCTATTAAGAAAGGACAGATCTTAATGAATTCCTTTAGTAGGTTTATTTTTAATTGCTGAAATCTGAGTTGGATAACAATTTTGATTCCTTATATTTTGTTCAGTTTTAGAAACTTTATCCTTATGTGTCAAGGAAATTGCAGTGGAAGTAAAAATTTCCTGAAGGAAAAGAGAAATGAGAATATGTTAAACATTGGAGAATGTCTCCTTGGGGTTTTATTCATCAGTAAATTGAATTCATGCAAAATCCAACCATAGTTGGTGGTGATGGTTTCAGAACAAGACTCCTCAAATTTGATACTGATATTAGAAAATATATACACAAAAAGGCTTTAAAAATTCGTGAAAATATTACATTTAAAAAATGCTATTTCCAACGAACTCTTTGAAGCCCCCTCCTGTATATCCCTCCTTATTTTGTTTAAAAGCTCATTTTATTTCTGTACTATATTTATCTATATGTAGGGATAAGAAGCATATGGAGTTGGTTGTAACACTGACTTGGTTTTGTTTTTACATCATGATTCTACATCAACTTTAAAAACAAATAATTTGGCTTTACTATGGAAAGTATATAGTAGTAATACTATAAAGTATATAGGAAGCATATAATACTATAGGAATATTAGTTGTGGGTTTTGGAAGCTGTAGAGAAAATCATTATAGAGAAAGTCATTTATGGGGCAAATCAAAGTGTTGTCTTTGAAAGAAGTCTACTCTATATAACTTTAAATTAGCTCCTGTCCTTTAAGTAAGAATGTTTGCAGCCATGATTAGATTGATTGAAATCTCTGTGCTTTTATAGTTACAATTTAGACCTTTGAACTTAGTAGTCAACTTAATTGAGTTTGATAGTGAAAGAAATGTATACTAGGAACTTGAGGAATTCTTCTAAACCAATTGAGTACCATTGAGTAACATTCTCCTTAATCTATAAGATGATATACAACCTGTCGTTTCACTCATGTTATTATTAAACAGGTTCTTTTCTCCCTAAGATTTCTCTTATTCATATTTAATGAAATTTTTTTGTAATTTAAATATACAGTCACATAATAGGCTAAGGCTAAGTGGTAGTCTTATATTTTCTTTGGCTGTAGTTGTACCATCAATTTTCTTTTTCAACAAGAATCAAAGTATTTTCTTCTATCCCTTTTGGTCAAGACAATTTCAAAACTTTTTATGAATTGTACAAAGAATTACAAACAGAATTTTTAAAAGATACATAAAATGAATATTCTTTGAAATCTGACCCTTTAATTTTTTCACGTAATTATGAGTAAAAGATGGATGGAAGTCTATTCTTGAAATACAGATATTTTCTAAAATCAAGGGTGAAAATATTTTGTTCTCCCTGAAAAATAGATTTCAGATTTGAACTGAAAGCAGACTAGGCCTAATTTAGTGGATGCCACAAAAAAGAATTATTTATTTATTTAGCTACAATGTGTGAATCTCCTTATTTGATGTTAAAAGATTCAGAAAATCATGATTGCTGCTATATTGTGATTGTATCATTTCTTCTCAGTAACGTACATAGTATACGTTTGTATTTATATTGCATGAAAGGATTTTATAGCACGAGTGTGAGAAAAATTATGAAATTGAATAGTTGGATACAGCAGTTAATACGCTCAACTGGTAACCCCCAGGGGAGTGTTCAGCTTACTCCATGGTACTTCAGAAGGAAGGTCCACTGACCAGCTCCTGAAACATCCACCAGGGAGGCGCCTGCCAGGGAGCACAGTCCACCGTGACACGTGGGGTCAACTCAAAGCCAATTCTTCCTTATGAGTATTTCCATTTATGTCTTAATGCTACTATATTGTTTTTGAAGAAAAGAGAAATGGATTTTTCATGTTTTTTCTTTCCCCATTCAAAAACAAGATTCATAATCTTTCCCCAGATTATGAATTTTATGAGGTTGGAAATAAGAGACAGAGAAAGAAGTGCCATTTCATATGGCACATGAGTTTCCACTCCTGTTTAGAAAGGGGGGAAAATAGCTATGCCTGACACTGGGGAAAAGGATAGTTAAAATAATAGCACACATCTAAATTTTCTTCATCCAATATTTAAGTTTTATACTGCTATTACTTTTTGCTTATGTCGACTTAGCCACACTTTAAGGGACTCACAATTTATTGATTCATGGACATGGATGCCTTTTTCCACTCTTAGTGTGTGGCTCTTTAAACAAAGTTTGCTATTTAGCCTATCAGACTTTTTAAAAGTAGAAGACTAGATCTGAAAAAATATAGATACATGTCATCTTAATAGCACTTATTTTTTCAAATTTAGAATTTAGTGTTAAGAGTCACTATTAACATTTTGAAGGCATATAGCTTTGGCTTAGGCTAAATTATTTTATCCTGTAAAAGATTCACAAGTGTTATATATGAAAAAACTCATTAGGATTGTCTTTCTGATTTTGATCATAGGGACAAATTACGATTAAAGGTAAATATCAAAATGATGATCTACGTTTTCATTCGAATGCCATTAATTTAAATTTAATTTCTTTGTAGGGTAGTTACTTTTATAATTATTTTATAGTTCATTTATATATCTTTTATCTCATATTTAAACTCTATACATAAGTATTTGTAATACATGCATGCTCGTGGAAAGAAAAGGAAATGAGTGTGTAAATGCTTTCATGACAAACTTTTTTTTATAATTAACTATTATAATTGATTTTCTGCTAATGTCTTAAGGATGGAGCATCTTTTACAGCTCACTTTAGAATAAATTTACTGTCATTTCTGAGATATAATTTTAGACTTGTGTGTACCCTGCGAATCACACTCTACCTCGACTGTAGACTTTCCTAACACATAGGAATCCCCTACACTTGACTACCGTTTTCCCAGTAAATTTTAACATTCAAACTAATATGCAGAGATATGAAATACTAAATGGATCAGATAAATTTCACTGTTGACCAACTTAAAGATAAACTGATTTGCCCTACTTAAAAATGTAAAGTATTTAATGTTTTCTTTAAAACTTGCGTATTATTTGACAGTGTTATTTAAAAAAATTATACCACTGAACTTAATTGACCTATATGTATGACTTGCTGGATATATTAATGAGCCTGTTGTTTATTTACACTAAGGAAGGGTGCTATTTGCTTTCACTTAAACAAGACCACTAGCATTTTATGGTTTGTTTACATATTTAAACTGGAAAAATAGATGGGAAATATATCCTTTATTTTAGGATAAAAAATGATGAAATTCTAATGTATTTTCAATCATCTGCATACTCGAGTAATTTAATCATTTTGACTAAACTGTCAAGTTGAAAACAATCATCTCATAGGTCATAAATTAATACTTTATATTAAAATTAAAGTGTGATGTTATACTAGCATTATATTCCATTAGTTATTTTTTTATTTTTCAAATTTTATTTTCATCATCATCAGTTATGGAAAATATAGAGAAAATATTTATTAGTTTAAAACTTAGCAGGTTAGTACTGTAGTCATAGAGTTATTGGTTTATGTTAGACTTGAAATGTGATTTATGGTAAAGAAGCATAGGTTTAAAGCCAGATACATTTTCTTATACTGAGGGATTACAATTCAGTTGATGAATTTTATAAAATACCGTATATACTCAAGTATAAGCTGACCCTAATATCAGCTGAGGCACCTGATTTTACCACAAAAACTGCATAAAGAATGTGCTGAAAAACTCAGCTTACACATGAGTATGTACGGTATACGTTTTTGCCGTTTAATACAACTATGTCTATTTTTTGTAGTTCTTTGTTGTAATATCTTCTTGATAGTTAGATGTCCATCTATATCCAAAATATATATGTTTATATGAACAAACTGTTTTAAACACCTTTTCCCGAATCATCTTTTTGAACTTGTGGTAGGCACACTTCCTCTTAGAGAAGGTTAAATTGTTTATATTTATTTTAAAATGTAGTGATTTCTTTCTTTCTTTTTTAAATCCATGACTAGGGAATTAAGATAAGTTTCCCTGGTTCAACTTTTAAGGTTTTAAGAAAAATATACTAAGATGCTTGTTCACAATTGTGTGTTGTTGTTTTTTTAAACAGAGAGTGAAAAATAAATCTTTGGAAGATGTGGTTATGTTAAATGTTGACACAAACACTTTAGAATCTCCATTTAATGACTTGAGCAACCTACCAAGTGATGTGGTAAGTTGAAAGGATATTTTATAATGAATCATCTCGGTGTTTCTTCCCAGATCTTGCAATGACTAAAAGTTATTTTCTGTATAAAATTAAAGGATTGTGTGTGATGGGGTGGGGTGTGAAAGAAATCATGTAGCTTCTCCATTTAGTATTTTTACCTTTTGACAGTTGAGAGATGTTGAATGAAACATCATATTCCTCATTGTAAAAGTAGGATCATAATTAAAAAGCTAGATGCATTCATTAGGCAGAGCTTCTTTAAATGTAAGTCTCTTCATCTCATCTTAATCATTATATTACAAAGTAGGCATTTCTGTCTGCCTAGTGGCATGTCTTGCAAAAGAATGAGAGTTTTTGAAGGCAAGCAGAAGAAGGGGGCCAATTATCGGCTTTTGCTTCCCTGCCACCTGCCAGCGCTTTGCCTTTTAATTAATGATCTGATGGCACTGGTCAATATAATAAGAAATGCTTGTACAGTTGGGGTCAGAAAATTCTGGCTTTGATCTCCCTCAACTTTCTGAAACATTTATTTGTTTTCTCTAAATTATTTCAGTTTTATTTTAATCTTTTCTATCCTGCTGAGGGCCACAAGAATGAAAACCTACACTGTTTGTCATTTGCTTTGGCAGAGCAAAGACTGCTTACTTAGAATTCTATTTGTAAATTAAACTGCAAACCCAGGTTGTCATAAAAGACATCTGATCCTTTTGAAATGACGAAAACTGTCTTTTGTCTGTAAAGGCTGATAAATTAAGTGCCAGTTCTCTTCTGGTCTTTGATCTTGCAGTGTGTGTGTGTGTGTGTGCGTGTGCGTGTGCGTGTGCGTGTGCGTGTGCGTGTGTGTGTGTGTGTGTGTGTGTGTGTGTCTGCAGCCTGCAATGGGGCATATTCTATATCTCATGTTAAATAGCTTCAAAAGTGCAATTTTTTGCGGGGGGTCCTGGTATTCTTTAGGACAAGGCAGACATGTTTCTGTCTGTTTCCGTATATATTTTAATGGCTATTTTTAAATGTCCTTATTTTATAGTTATTAATTGAAATAATCTCCCTTAAAAATCCATTCTTAAGAATATTAAAATCAAGGGGAAAACCCCTAAGAATATATTCATTTGTAATATCGAAAGAATTTTGTAATTTATTATTAGGGAGCTTGGATAAGAGAATTTTAAGCGTCAAAAACTCTCATCTACTGCAGTAATACTAACCTTGATGGTTTTCTAGGCTAGTGATAGGAAAAATACGATTTTAAAGTTACTATCTGATTATTTATGACCATAAATAGCCTAAAATACTTGCTGACCTTGAAGCAAATTAAAATTGAACTGCTTTATTTTGCTGTAATAAATTTTATACTATGTGTGAACAAATCCAAACTCAGGCCAGTGAACAATTATAATATCTTTTTAGCTCATTATAACTAGATTGCCTCATTATAAAAATTTTGCAGAAGCGGCTAGAGATGATTAGAGTTATTCATTTAAAAATCCATCAAAGTCTTCTTCACTGGATATAGAAATAATTAGTGGAGGTAGAGTACCAACTTTTAAGAATGTATTCCATGTGTTCATGTATTTTCTATTGTCGATACCATAAGGAGGAAGACTTGTTTATTTATTTAAAACAAATAATTAAGAAGAAGGGAAAAGGAACATATAAGAAATATAAATTTGGCTGTAAGGTTTATGATATTAAATTTTATAGTCAGCACATTGATAGTTTTTTTTTCTTTGATTAAAAAAGTTTCAAATTTCATATTTTGGATAGGTGACATTATTAATTGAGAAGTACTATTTTCCAAGTAGAATTACTTTGCTGATTAAAACATTTATTTAGCTGTCAGAGAAAAAAACAGTATGCAAAAAAAGAACAGTAGTCTAGATATATAAAATGAAACCGCTTATGAATAAGAAATAGTATAATTAAATTTTACTAAAATATTATGTATATGAAGGGGCTTCAGAAAGTTCTGGGAAATTTTTCATAATTTATTCAATTTTACCACCAACTTTTTAACCGTGTAAATGGAAAGAACATTGCACAGTGTTATATATATATAGTGTGTGTGTGTGTGTGTGTGTGTGTGTGATGGTATAGGTGCTTGATATTAAGGGCCACAAACTTACTGATAAATTTGGAGAATAAACAAATTGTGATAACTCTAAAGTGAAGCTGGGACCATTTATTGAAAGTATGAGGTGCTTTAAAGTGCTAGTCATTTTCCAAAAGAATTGTTGGTAATTACTTGAGACAGCACCAAAACCAGGTTGTAGTTCTGGAGAAGTCTGCTAAAGCATCGCGTCATGCTTTCTACAGTTGTAAGTGTTAAACGAGACATATTAAAATGGCCAATAATCATAAGTTTTTTGTATGTGTGTACATTGAATAAAGTATAATCGAGGCCTGAAAATATTACTGTTGGTGTTTTCTGATTGTTTAATAGATTACCTGAGATCTAAATGGAGGCCTTTTAAAATCATTCACCAGAGCATTTAAATTATACTTACAGGCTAGGTGACTTTCTAGGCATGTGCACTCTATTATTGTGTCCGATTGACCAGTGGTCTTGGCTGTTCAAAGGTCAGTGGTCACAGTTGTCCTGAATTACTAGGTCTTTTTTCCTGTGGACCCTCTGCTGTGTTGCATGCTGTAATCTTCTTAATGGCTTCATTCCAATATTCACACATAATATTTTAGATTTATTGACTGTTAGAAATACTACCATGCCAGTAGCAGTTCCGCTACTCTTAAGGTATTTAAAATTGGAAAAATAAATCAGGGCAAAGCTTTCAGGAATCCTTTGTTTTACTTATGGGACAGGAAAAAAACTCTCTTCCTGTCTTCTGACAAGAACACTTGTATGCCGATTTCATCATTTCACTATTGATTTGCATCATTAAAAGAAAATTAAACAAACATTTCATTGTGAGAAAATTTAACGATATTGATTATTACGTTGAATAACCTTTAAAGGCAGTAGATACATTAAAATATTGTCTTATAGTTTTTAGCTGTGCCAAGTAGATGCCTTCAACATGTGTGAGCGTGTTGAAATACAAACAGATTTTAGAACTAAATGCAGCAATGTTATTGGAGGGTATGGTGTTCTGTTTATGAGTGTGGGGAAAAGTCAGGTGAATTCAATATTAAAATTTCAAATCAGTTCATTTTAGTTTAAGAAAACTTACTTTAGAGAATCATAGTAGTTTAAAATTTTGTATTTCTGAGATATTGATGCTCATTTTAATTTTTTACTCATGAACATTTTAAGAAGTAATTTGGAGAATTATTATTATTTTACAAATAATAAATGCACACTTACTGGAAAACTAAGCTTTTAATTAGAATTATAGTAAGTTTTTAAAATGTTCCCATATGAATATTAAGACAATTATTAACTAGTTCTCATAGATACAGCCAATTGGAATTGACTTTTGAAAAAGTTACACACATTATAATATTAATTTCAATCAAAAAGTAAATTTTGATGTATGAGGGGACTTCAAAAAGTTTGTGGAAGTTGCCATTATCTTTCAATTCCATGTTTCATGAACATTTCAAAGAGTTCTCCCTACCCCCAAATATTTCTTAAACATTTTAAAATAATTTTAGTTTACTAGATGCTAATATGGGCTAAGTTAGGTCAGTATTTCTTATTCCTCTTTTAGAAACAAAAATGAAAGCATGCAGAAAGTACAACATTAGTGGTTCATCTGAAGCGTTCGTTCTTTGGCTTCTCCACCTGTGCCCACCTGTGCCCTGAATATTGGGAGATCATGCCTCCTCTTATTTTATTATGATATACAACGTGTAATGAGTAACTCTTAAAAAGTTTTACTGTAGTAATTTATCCTCCATTCTGATATTAAATGAAAAGCAACATAGCCAATTTAATTTAAATTAAGATTTTCAGCACTGTTTTGAAACCAATTTTCACCTTGTATATAATACCACTAGAAAAAAGTTATTCTATTTCCCACTATGAATTCGTGTCGAAAATATAGTGTATTCATGGGTTGTTGTACAATTCACTGTGGACCACACTAGGTTGTAGAGTGAAGCATATTTAATTCCTAAAGCAATGAAAAGGCTTCATTATAACATGGTCTCCCTGAGAATGCGATTCCTGTTACAATGAGACTTTCAAGTATCTCATGCAGGAATGGAGTGATGGTTTTACTGTGATATGCAAAGGGAACACACACATTGCTCTGAATTTCCAGCAATCATTAAAAGCCTAAAGAACTAGAGAACACCCCAAAACGTTAAGAATTTTTGGTCACGTACCTTCCAGTGACTTCATTAATTTGGAAATAAGCTTGGAAAGGAGTAGGCTTTATCAGAGAATTTTTATATCAGCTCTTCTTTTAAATAAAGTGCCTAAACAATGAAACAAACAAAAACCATGTAAATATTGAATATTTTCCCTAACCTAACATGAAAGTTTAACACATTAAATTGTCTTAGTATATGTTATATATTAGTATATATTATGTCTGGATTTGTCACAGCTGTGCTATAATCCTTATAGCCTATGTGAGTGAACTACTTAACAAACTTCTGTATCGTGGCGAAGTTAGAAAGATAACCGTTTTATTCATCTTTGAAAGAAATGTAATCCCACCTGTTCCATTTCAGACATCTACTTCTTGAGTATTGATCAATACACCACACCAGTATACCACCTACAATTGTACTTGCTTTATCTGTTGTAATATGCATTGTTTCTAAAGCCCCTGTTTACTGTTACCTTCTGGAACATCTTAGAAGGATGTTTTTACCTGGTTCTCATTGGTAAAGGAAGAAACCTGTAAGCCAACATCCTTTTAAATAGTTATGTTTAGAGAATTGATAATTTGAAAAGTATTTTTGCTTGTTTGTTTTTAAGTAAACTGTTAGGGGTGTTGCTATTTTTATATAAACTTGCAATGCAAAAGAAAAGAGACCAGTCCAGTTGAAAACAATACTCACATCTCAAGTAGGCTTCCAAACATTTCTGAAAATTA